GAAGGGTGTTTATGATAAATACAGAGGATGTCAACGTCGATTTGATTTTTTGCGTGTTGTTTAGTTATGCATCTTATGTCAATTACCTCCAGTAAAATGATATTGTCCGGCACTATTCAAATAACAATTGTCCTTCTATTATGCTTTTGTATGTGTACTCAACTATCCGCCTGGTGTTATTTTGTTCTTCTCATCTTGCACAATGTAAGTTAATTCATTTAATATCTGAATATTTAGTATGTGTTAGAGGAGTATTATATGGTATTTTTACGTATTTAACTCTTAAACTAATAAGTTGTAAGGCTTCAAATGCATAAACAACGCCATACCTATGTGATAGGTATTATGAAACTGGGAAATAGAAATGTTAATGTTTGTATAACCAATGTAATTAAATGACAGTTTCAAAGTCAATATATGATCAGATTGAATCTGTATCGATCTGAAGATCAACCAATAAATGCAAATACATCAACAACACTCAACACAGTTATAATTCTATATAGAGATCTCTGGCAGCTGTTGTCAGACTGCCGTGTCCGATATTTAATTAAGGATATTGATCATTTTTATTATAAAAATAACACGTTTTCAAAAGTATTTAATCATCAGAATCAACAATAAAATGTAAATGTTAATGACATCGACATGATTTTATACAGAATATATATCTGTTATCAAAATCGTAATGTTGTTTTCAGAGAAGATGTCATTTGAGAAGAATAGATATTGGTGCACTGATCCTCTTATAAGTGTTTCTTTGAAAAGAAAACTCAGCAGACAATGCGAAACTTATTTAAGGTCTTAATCCACGTATGGCTTGGCATGTTGAATTGTTTTTCACCACTCAGGTCCGGGTATTTCCGTTAGATCGAACACCGATGGTTGTTAATTGTTGTGATGAAGTGCCCCTCTTCCCTCGCCACTTACTGCAAATGACAAAGGTATATACCTTTGGCAAATGTGCAAGATACTGACTGGAGGATATGATAGTCATCGTTGTCCTCACATGTGAATGAACTTGTGATGTGGGTATACCGACATCTTGAAACTGCCAGTGGCAGTATTACAGATACCCTACCACTATCCTCAAGTCTTTGTTGCCTGTCAGTCTACAAAGAGCTAGAATTGGTGTTTCCTTGAAAACTCTCTTACTTTTACTGGACAACAGTAGGGTTGTCCAGTGGTTTTTAGCTTTGTTTTTTCCTTCATTCACATGTAAGCCTAAATTTCGGCCAGTTTTTCGGCCACATATAAGCCGCACGACTGATGGTTTTTAATTCAGAAAATACGGTACATTTTTCCCGTGTCCGATAATCAATTTTTCTTGTTGCCACAAGTGGTAGTTAAGTTCACTCTCAAACGAATATACTAGATGAACGTTCGTTATCTCGATTTCGAATCCATTCGTAAATTCAATTTACATGGTCACTGTTTCCTTGCACTGAAAGCGAATCAATGAGATTCCTTGATAAACAACTCATGGGTAAGCTAGAAATTTACAACTCAGCGTCTTATCCCATTTTTATAAAGTAAGAAATGGCGATATTTATTTCACTTTGATAATTTCCTGCTCGGCAAGTTTCGATCGCCGGTTTTCTTTTGTTTGTGAACAAAACCTTCCAATGCTGTCATTCTCATGTACTGACAAATACAGTGTCATTATGCAAAATAATTATTTTTTAAGATAGGTAGTTTCTATGAATCAATAAGATCAGTCTCAAAGTGAATACAGCAGGTAAAATGTACTTCCTTGGCAACCAATCGATTTTCATTCAAGTCACTCGAACCTTAAAGAGCTATGCGTGTTATTTTAGTCACTCCTAAAGCTTGGACAGAAAAATCTTGTTTGTCAAAATATGAAACAAATTTATTAACGAATTTGTTATTTAACAGGTACTGAACAGCAGGAACATCCTCTCCAAAGATGGCGTCTTTTGCACGTGCTTACAGTGGAAAAAACATTATTTGGAGATTTAATATTTCTGTAATAAGCTCTACCCATATTTATACATTACTTATGTTCTGCTATGAGCCCGACATCTGATTTTAATATGTTTGTATGTTTGCCCCTCCCCCAACCCCAACTCCCGGGCATTTTGAGGTTACATAAGGGTAACATAATTCATATATGGATATCTTATCTAATACAACGTGCTTTTCATAGTACCTAGAGTGCATCTCGCTTAGCTATGAAGTGCCAAGTAAGTTCATCATTGTTAAACGTGAATTTTGCCACTGGCTTTACGCTACCAATCAATTTATTTAACGAAACAACTATCTCGTGTATGACAACAAGGAAAGAATTTACCACTCGAGAAAATAACACTACTGTGTATCATAAGTACACTAGCACTTCTTTTTACAAATAAGTATCGTAACCTCAATAGGGATACAAACATTCATGTGATTTGGATTCCATTCAAGATATCGATCAAACGAAGGTAAGCGTATTTACATATAAAACAATGAGATATCAGGCACGAGTTTGTGATTAAATGCATTAATGATTAATAATAAATTTTGTGAACTTATGGTCGAAAACCTGTAGCTAAGATATAGCGAAGTTTGCTCCAGTCATCCTGTTCCATCCTGAAAATCCGTTGTGCCAGTTACGACCAAGGTAATTGTATCATTCTAAGCAATTCCATACATGCTCTATATGAAGCTTTGAACGAGCCTGTTACTTCAAGTCTTACACAAACTCTGAAAGCTGAAGTTCCTGCAAGGATTGACAAACTGCTTATTGACTTCGTAAAAAAATAAATTAAAAAAACTTTTACCGAAAAAGGCACTAGAACTGAAGTTTCTCCGACCCTTGATAAAAAGTGTTTCCGATAGATTGTAAATTCTTTTTAGCGGAAAATGAAATTAATGTTTTACGTAATAACTTTAAGTATAATAACATTCTCGACATTACTCTTCTGAAATGCTCAATTCCACGACATTATTCCTTTCACCAGCTACTACAAAGAAACCCCGCCTCAAAATCATCCCGGTTGTCCAGAGCCCAACAAACCCAACAACCGATATCATTATACATCAACCAGATCAACCGGTCTGACCTCTCAATAGCAGGCCACTTTCTGTAATGACATATAGTATTAACTCGAAATTCAGACATGGCTTATATTCTTTAATATATGTAGTATTCAAATTTCAGTTTCTTTATTTCAAAATGTAAATAGTATATATAATGTACAATATGCAAACAATTAGATATATTATTCCATGACCATAATGTGGCGGGGAAAATAACAATATTATCAACAAATTAAATAAAATATTATTGTCAGTGGAACATATCAGATATTGATCAGATATTTCAGACAGGCTTTCGTTTAGAAGTAGCTTGCATTAAAATCTTGATAATGTTTCTCAAGATTGATATGTTTCCCATGCGAATAATTGAATTTATTTGAAAACAGATGGACGACGGAAATAACAGGGTTTGAACTATTTTGTTGGGAGCTCTTAATAGACTGGGCACTACAGAATTAAATGAGTTTCATCCTCGATACCATTACCACATGTATTTCAAAGGGGACACGGTCGTTGAACTCTTGGAATACCAGTTCATTGATAAGGAGGCTTTTAAAATATATAGTTGTTCCGTTGATAAATGAATATATTTTTATTAGTTTACATAAACACTAAAATTTATGTCATTTTAATGAACTAGCATCCTACCACCAAAATAGTTTGACATACAACATAAAGAAATTGAAATCGATTTCATTGAGTCTTTGGATATTGTTAATGAGCAGTTCTGTACGAAGAACTCGCTTAGCCTTGTATTCATTGCAAAATATGTATTGTAAATGATATTTCGGTGCTCAAATTCCAGCAAGAAGAAACAAGTAATAATGAATTGATCGGAAGAGAGAGAGAGAGAGAGAGAGAGAGAGAGAGAGAGAGAGAGAGAGAGAGAGAGAGAGAGAGAGAGAGAGAGAGAGAGAGAGACACACACACACACACACACACACAGAGAGAGAGAGAGAGAGAGAGAGAGAGAGAGAGAGAGAGAGAGAGAGAGAGAGAGAGAGAGAGAGAGAGAGAGAGAGAGAGAGAGAGAGAGAGAGAGAGAGAGAGAGAGAGAGAGAGAGAGAGAGAGAGAGAGAGCTGTATAGCTGTTCAACAGTTGAAAAAACTCTCAAAAGTTGTAGATGTGTGAATATTGAAAACTTGAAAATTGAAACAAACATTTTATCGTGATAAAAACATTCATCAATGCATGTATGTCAAAATAGGATGCATATGATTTGAATAAAAGACAACTGTACCTGAATGCCGGTATATGTTATCCGTTTCACTGTTAATTACTTGGACACAAAACATTCATATAATGTATAAGGATATTAATTAATCAATGTTAATCGTAAATCACTTGTTTTTCGCGTGGTATTATTTTTGCGTTAATATGCGAGGAGTGACAATCGCAAATTCAAATACCTCGCTAATATTTGTACGAAAATAATTTTAGATGTCATCCATGTCGATTCCGTTACTGATATCGGAGTCTAGCAGAATCCAGATATCTAATAGCTTATCATTCGCGAAGTTAAAGTAATTTCTAGTATTCGCGAATATGTCTGAAGAGGTAAGTTCGCGAAATAAATTAATCGCGAAATATAAGTGACTTACAGTAGTTTAATGACTGTGACCTGAACGTTACATAAGCTTTTTTTTTATTTATTAATATTTTCATTTTGGAATCATGCACAGTCTAAATGAGTGACTACACGAACGTCTGTTGTAATAGACGCGCTTAGTATTGTCAATCATCGCCGTTTGTCACAGTATGAAATTAATCATATTATCATTGATGGCTTTCAGAGTAGATGGGTGTGTTTTGAAAAAAAAATAAAACCGCTTGATTAATTTGAAAGTAGTGATTAGTGAGTTTTGCAGAATTGAATTTGAGATGTAATTCTTTGTTGTACTTGACATAACATGAATATCTAAATTAATCTTATAAACATTTTTGTCTTCCTTTTCAGGGCTAGCATTTATCAAGACGATTCCTTCCAAGCGTTTAACTGAAAACAAACTAGATATGGGTAAAAGCGTCCGAGTGAGATTGCATCGGAATTCCAGGAAGTATTTGGTAACTGCGGTCGGGCTGACATGTTTTGTGTATCTTGGAGTTTACAATATTATCACAGAAAAGACATATCACAACTTTTGTCAAATGAATCAATGTGACGATAATATCATAAAATTCTCTCAGGTTAATTTTGTTAATAAAAGTACAAAGAAAATCTTATTATGGACGACATATTTCACGGCAGATTGGGTTTATCTAGGTAACATGAAGTATAGTAAATACGATTGTTCGGTGACATCAGACAAAAGTGAAATCGAATCAGCTGACGCAGTGTTATTTCATTATCTTGATCTTTGGCTATGGAAAAAAGTGCCCGGATATAGAAGACTTGACCAAGTTTGGATAATGTACAATATGGAGGCCCCTCCTCATCAGCATTATACAGGAAGATCATGGTCAAATTCCATTAACTGGACATTGACCTATAGAAGTGATTCAACGGTCCATTTACCCTACGGTGAATTTATGCCATTGATCAAAGCTGAAAGAGATGTTGCGTTCAGGAAGTATAGTAACAAGGATTTCTTTGTCAGTAAGACCAAGATGATTGTGGCTGCTATCAGTGATTGCCCTGATGACGCCAAAAGATATCGACACATTAGCGAACTGGAAAAGTATGTAAACATAGATTTCTATGGAAAATGTGGAAATTTAGCGTGTTCGACGGACGGAAGGGGTGAGTGTGATTCCAAAACGTATAAATTTCGAATCGCTTTTGAAAATGCTAATTGCCAAGATTATGTGACAGAAAAATTTTGGAGGAGTTTATATCAACAGACGATTCCAATTGTAAATTGGAAAGTAAATCAAATAATTGAAGCCCCGCCACATTCTTACATCAATATATACGACTTTGACAGTATCAAAGAATTGAGTGAATACCTGTATTTGTTGAGTTCAAGCCCAACTTTATATAACGAATATTTTGCGTGGAAGACAAAGTATAAACCAACAAGATCTACAATGTATAGACTTTGTGACGCCCTCCACACGCCAAGACAGGCACAGACGATCATAGACCCTAGGAAATGGATGCGGACGGATTCCTGTAGTAGATGGTCGGTAGGTATATGATTAAAATATACAATTCTAGCGAGATAAATATTGATAGACATAGATATGTATAGGTGAAGTAAAAACATTGATGTGTTGTAAGTATACATATACACCTGTAGTACATGTTCGGTAAGTAATAGAAAATCGGTTGGGGCGAGATGATATGATCTGTAGCGAAATGTTTACACTAAAGATGGGGCGAGATGATATGATTTGTAGCGAAATGTTTACACTAAAGATGGGGCGAGATGATATGATCTGTAGCGAAATGTTTACACTTAAGTTGGGGCGTGATGATATGATCTGTAGCGGAATGTTTACGCGTAAGTTAGGGCGAGATGATATGATCTGTAGCGAAATGTTTACACGTAAGTTAGGCGAGATGTTATGATCTGTAGCGAAATGTGTACACGTAAGTTTGAGCGTGATGATATGATCTGTAGCGAAATAATTTATTAACAACTCATCGGCATATATCGAATACATACAATACCTTGATAAAATACGTACCAGACAACTTCAAATTGAAATATCGCCAGTTTAAAAAGAGTTACGGGAGATGACTAAAAACAGCCATCTAAAACTGTAATATAACACTTATTTCAATTCCATTTTCTCCTGGTAAAATAATCACCCTGTATCATAGTACTGTTTACTAAATTTTCTTTATATGATATAAAAACAGGTGTTTGTACTATTCTTAGCTAAGACCTCATTGCTTATTAGTTTCATTTTTAGAATCATTAAAATCCAAGTAACTTTGATATAATTCAGCAGCTTTAACAAAGAGTGTTTCCTTTAAGTCTTTTTATAGCTCAGTCGTACATAAACAGTGTTCGTCTTCATCGATCATTATATTACAAACGACCAGTTTCCAGTCTAAGGGAGACAACTCCACAACGACATTTGGCCAAAGCACCTCAATGGACTATTGGCATAATATGGCATACATACTTTTCTACATATAGTTCACTTTAAATTGTATGAAAGTACGCAATCTATTCACTCCCAATCTAGAATGAGGTAAACTACTATTTAGCTGTGATTGCCATTATTATAATAATATATATATATATATGTATGTGTTTTCTAAAACTAGCCTCCGTAACAGTGCTTATGAGAAACTGAGAAGAAACACTAACTAAATCATTTATAAAATGCTCCAATCCAAAATAATTCTATACTTACTGATGTGGAAATTCCAATTTTTACAGTTTTTAAGGCGGTCAGTTCAACAAAACACTATTTTGATTTAGCCTGTCACATTCCATACAGCTTACCCTCTGAAATTGTCTTATAACTTTCCCGTTGTTCAATGAAAATAGGAGTTCATCCCATATCTATATTTACTGCGTATAACGACCTACGCCCATGGAGAAACAACATGCTCGAATTTGGATTGCTGATATACAAGAGTACTACCTTTGTCTCTAAATTGGGGCTCCAAAGTTATGATAGGTAACAGTATTTTTATATAATTTTGTAAGAGTTCCATAAGGAAAACTTAACTTAACCTTAGTTATCAATAGACCGAGTGCTCGCGAGTCTGAGCTCGCAACATGTTTAGCTGTCACAGAATAATCTAAACGTTCAGTCATTATGATACCAAGGCGGATATACCTGTTACATACAGAGGTGATATCTTCACCACAACTAAATGCATGCTTGGTACGTACAAGAAATAGAGGGTGGAAATGCATTACGTTTGTTTTTATCTTGTTGATTTCTTAACTTCGTTTCTCACTTTCCATACATTTGTAAGATCTAGCAATACTTGTAGATCGGTAGTTCATTCAGTCAATAGTATAAAATCATCTACATATAAAAGTACACATAAGTTTTCCTATTCTTTATCAATACCTCTACAAGCACTATTTACATGGAAGAGCAAGGGAGATAACTAACACGCTTACTTCATGCCTTACACCAACCCATTCTTACAAATGTCGTTGATTCTTCCACAACATTTCACCGTTTCGTATATAGAGGTAATTAGCACTATATAATTATCCTGATAAACCGTAATCTCTGTTTGGAAAAAAAAATCAATCTTAACTTTTTTTTTGCCGTTTTGAAGTCCAAACAAGCGCTAAAATAGAAAGGAGCCACGAGATTCAATAATAATAATAAAACAGTTTATTTAAGTGTCACAGATTGAAACAAATTAAAATACAAATTACAGTTTTAAAATGTACAGGTAAAAGCGATCATTTCCCAACCAAAATTATTTGACTCATGAGAAAGTATTGAACACCAAAACTAAAAACATCTCAATCATAATCGATTGATACATTTCAATATCAGTCAATTATAGTAAATGACGTCACAGTAGAAATATGGTCCAATGCACTTCTAGCTAAGCGGTATCCGTTCTGACAGTCGTTAAGGAAGTTACTCAAAATTATTTAAACGATCGTTTAATATACATGCATATAAACATTACAATTTATATGGTGATGGAGTTGATGCAATATCCCTATGTTCATGTGGATCTCTCGGATATTCGGACAATGTTTCTATTACACATACTTTTTACAGGTATTTCATTTATACTGCTCACTTGACCAACTTTAACAAGCCTAATTGTCTCAATTAAACTCGTCGACACTAAATTCAGCATTGAATAGTTCATAATTTTCTTCTTCCTCCGGAAACTTATCAACCGTTCAATTTCCTAACTTAACTATTGGCGTCTGCATTTAAAAGTTTAAAAAAATATTTTTTCCCCTTTCATGTAAAACTTCAGTAAAACATTACTAATTCAATTATCCTATCGTACAATTTAGTAGGAATAGATGTAGAACGTTTCATTTCTACTCTATCTCACTAACCCTTTCGTTAATTGACACCAAATTTTACTAATTCTATCGTTAATTGACACTGAAACTCACTAATCCTGTCGTTATTTGACACAAACTCGCACTAATCCTGTCGTTAATTGACACTAAATCTCACTAATCCTATCGTTGACACTAAAACTCACTAATTATATCGTTAATTGACACTAAAACCCACTAATCCCATCGTTAATTGACACTTAATTTCACTAATCCTTTCGTTAATTGACATTGAAACTCTACACCATCTATAGCATTAACGCATCCGAATCGACACTAGTTAAGTTATATTTTATAAAATTCCCATACTGTTCATCTGATTGCATAGAATCTTAAGCTGATAATGCACCATTTAAAACAAACATACATGTCAACTTGAAATGGTCTGATTAAGAAAAACCAGGACCAATTAAAGATACACAACCAGCATTTTCTGCTAGTTCTGAGGCAATCTGTACAAGTAGTTTAAACAATGTCATATGTTACTTCTCTGATAGTGATACGACATGTCTATCTTACTATTTATATAGTAGTATACTGTATATAGACTTTACATGTATATATAAAGTGAAATACACACCGATATACATATCTATAGATATTGGAAAATTTCCTGTTTATCCATTGTATCTGAAATATCATTTCCTGTCACAAAGGAAAGAGAAAAACTAAGTCAACGACATTAATTTAAAAAAAATTGATATTTATTGTCACAAAAAAATATTTTACATCGGAAGATTAACTTATGGTACAAATACAAAAACATATGAAATTGGTCACGAATTTAGGAGTAAGTGCATGTTAAATGTGTATTTTCTTTTGACTTTGTGTGGTTTAAATCGTACCCTTTAGGTGAAGATTTTATTCTGTGTTATTGTCATTCTTTGCTTTTTTTCGGGGACGGGAGGGATAGGGGGCGGGGGGAATGCGGGAGAGGAGAGGGCGTATTTTTCAAACGTACATTTCTTTGGGATAAAAATCGATTACATGTAGTCAGAACAGCAAGAAAAAGTATGTATCCAAATACACTGTATCACATTTAAAGGGAGACAAATCGTAACAGAACCTAGTATATACGTTTAAAAAGGAAGCAGTAACCAGCTTATTTGGTAGATGTATGTACATGTACACTAAAAAGTATAATATGGATGTTACATGTCATACTGATTATTTAGTAGATTCAACCAATGTTTTGATCCGCCCCTGTTCTTCTTTGAAGTATGTGTTGCAGCAAACTTCTGATTAACCAAGAAGCCAGCAATCATAATGCTTGGTTTCGATATTTCTGGAATAAAACTCGAAAGAATTTACATGGACATAACGTTTGAGGAAAAGAAAAAAAAAATATATGGAATTAACTTTTTACTCGTGATCACGATGTACAACTTATTAAAACTCTCGAGTGGATTATTCTGATCAACCATAATGGCTTTGATCAAACTAGTGTACGTAGGACGACAGATATCCGACCGATTCCGAGGGAAAATACTTATATCCAGTGTAACATGTGTAACTCTCAATGACGTCTGATTAACCTAAATCTTGCAATCATGCAATCGTGATGCCTGGTTTAGGGGTTTCTGGGATAAAACTTGGCAACATTTCAAAGAAAAAAAAAAGTTTTAACCCATATTCAAGTTTTTAGGGGTCAAATGTATTAAATTTTTATCACTTTGCTTCATAAGCGAAATACACATTTGTTCATTTAAACGTACCGTGAATAAAACTCAAATATGACATTGTTTTCAGTGAACTATATAAGTTTAATATCCTAACATTTACTGAAACATGGCTTAGTCAGTATGATATAACTTCAGATTCCGACGGGATTGATAAGGCCCCTTATCAGTCTGTTTCTTCATGGGATCACATCTCTCATTCAAGCGAAATTGTTTTTAACACATGAATTGCTTATATGATTATAACCGGCGATTTCAAGGCAAACGTTGTGAATGATGATAACAACTCTCTTCACATTCGTAACTTGTTACAAACTTACCTAGAGTGTCGTCAAACCTAGCTTCGTCATTGAATTGTCTTCCTCTCTTCTTGATTTCTTTTGTATAAGTTATCCATCCTTAACTGACATCTGACATGTCGGAGAAAGCTTTCTCGATCAACCTATGAGATATCACTGACCAGTGTTCGGTGGTCATGGTTTGTAACATTTGGCTGTACGAC